TCCTGGGCTCCGCAGAACTCGGGGGCTAACTCAAATCCAAGTAAACAAGCCCAAACCTTTGGGTGCTCACCTGCCCCCTGCACAAGACACTTTGTCCTGTCCTGCAGTTCCTCTCCACAGCTCCAAACGCTGTGGTATACACCCCTGCTGGGACATGCAGCGGCGCTTACCTCCAGGACCATCTCTGTCATCTGGAACTGCTTCTGGGAGACCTTGTCAGAGCTCACGGGCTCGTGGAAGAGCAGGCAGAGCATGTCGTACTTCTTCAAGGCCTGCTTGTAGTTCTTCTCGTTCAGGTCGATCACTCGGTCTTTCCCATCGTAAGTGGGGAAATTCAGTCCCTCTTCTGCTTTGCAGCAGAAAAGCAGGTAAAAACCTGCCAGGATCCAGCAAGTCACCTTCATAGGGGAGCCCTTGGAGTGCAGCAGAGGGCAGGTAAACGTCCCTCTCCCTCTGAATTTGGGAAGAGGGGGAGACCAAAGGCTCCAGCTGAAGTTCGAACGGAGTTTCTCTTTCTGCTGCCTTCCTAGTGATCAGCCCAAACTCTGCAAGGCTGGTGGGGAGCAACAAACTCTGCTGTCCTGGGCTCACAACAAAGAGACAGACAGGAGAAGCTGTCAGGCCAAGCCCTGGATACCTTACATAGCTGTGTCCAGCTCCCGTGTCATTAGGAACTCCATTTTTAGGAAGCAGTTGTTTCAGGCTAAAAATAAACCCTGCAATGAATAAAAAGGACAGATATGACACCATTGAGGGACTTGCTGGCACTCTGCATCATCTGAGAGAGAGGGAGCGAGTGACAGGGAGGGAGTGGAAGATGTCGATGCTGGGAATACGCAGGCAGGGTTTCTGAAGGGACAGACTTCGCTTTTACAGGGAACCAAGGCATAGCCTGTCCTACTAGGGCTTAACAAAAATAGAAGGTATTTACTGCATTTTTTAATAAGGGTATCTCTCTTTCTAACCCCTGGGGCATCACAGTGATTAGGCTTTGGATAACAGAGCTCGAATTAAAGAGTTTCAGAGGTTTATCTGCACCGCTAGAGGAAAAGTCCCCTTTCCTCAGCAGCAAAGGAGGTGAGTGCTCGTGGGACCCTCTCCTCCTCCTCCCGCCTGGGGCATAGGCTGGAGCTGCTGGCTGACATTCAAACTCTTTTCCGAAGCACCTTCTCTGCTTGCAGGGTACCAGGAGAATTGCTGGCCCCCATGGACCAAAGCAGAGGGCAGCTAGCTTATGCTGCAACCTCCCAGGCCCACAGCAGTTACCGAGCCCCATACATTGCAGGCGAGTGGTTAAAACCTTATCATACTAAGGCGGATGAAGGGCAGGAGGCACGTGCCCAGGCCGGTGACTTGGGGCAGGAGGCAGGGCTCTGCTCAAGATGATGGACAGATGCCACTATGGCTGCTGGCCTCCCTTCCTGGGATGCGTGTGTTGGCCCAGAGGGTTTTTTTTTTTTCTCACAACCCTGTTGCGTTTCCCAGCAAGTGGTCCCACATATTCCTTCCTCTTTGTTTCCCAGGAACAGCGACCGGTTCCCCCTTCCCCAGGACCTCATCACACGCTGCTGCTTTGCTGCATCGCCCGTGCCACGCTCCTCGGGGACGAGGGTTGGGTGGCACCGTCTTTCACCTCTTCCACTACTCTGACCGGGGTGTCACCGCTGCCCCATGACTGGCAGCAACAGGCAGGTGGAGGCAGGCCAAATGGCCGCCAGCCAGCACCGGGGCTGACGCGGACCTGCCGGAGAAGGCACGCTGAGGGGCTGGCAGAGAAGAGCTTGACAGGGGGCATGGGTCTCTCCCCCCTCCTCCTCTGCCCAAAGCGATGTGCAGACAAGTGGCCTTATCAGGCCTCCTCCTTGCATGCTGCTCCACCACAGCCTTGCTCCATCCACACCAGGGAGGAGATGATGTTCCCTTCTCGGTGCATGCAACTCTTGTCCCAACCAGCTGTTCCCATTTAATTGTATGGCTGGGATTATTTCAACATTTGGGGTGAAAGGCGAGCATTACTTAGCAATTATAGAATCATAGAATTGCTTAGGTTGGAAAAGAACTTTAAGATCATCGAGTCCAATCATAAACCTCACACTGCCAAGTCCACCACTAAACCACGTCCCTAAGCGCCACATCTACCCATCTTTTAGACACCTCCAGGGATGGGGACTCGACCACTTCCCTGGGCAGATTATACCTATCTATCTCCTAGGTGACACGTCCCCTAAGCTTTCACTTCCAACCTGAGCAGCCCATGGCTTACTGACTGAAACTCTGTGGACAACAGCTTCCAAGTCTGTCTTATTTCCAAAGCCTCCTCCCAGTAGTTTCTGCTCTTGCCTTTTCAGAATTTCAGTGTTTGCCCGCGACCTGAAGTCCTAATGATGAAGCCTGAGGAATGTGGGTAGAAGCCAGAGCAAGACAGCCTCAGAAATACGCTTCCTACTGAGGCACCCTTCAGAGGGAGATGTGACAAACCTGGATACATCTGATTGCTTTCAGTGGGAGACACAAGACTTGTGCCACAGTGGGTGGCAATGGCTGGCTAGGCTTTTGCTGAATGTTTCGTCATGGAACTAACTTGTGGGATGACCAGGCGTACATCAGGCTGGTTGGTTGCCTTTGAAGGACCCCATGGATTTGAGGTGCAGGAGCAGGCTTCCGCTGGCATCAAAGTATGTTTTAAAGCAGGCGCATATCAGACAGGGCTGTAAAAATGAAACATTCACAGCTATTTCAAAATTGGCTTCCCAGGCTCCTGCTCTCCTTTTATTCTTGTAGATCTTCAGCAACTGCTCCACTTTTATATTGCTCAAGCTATTTTTGAGGTGCTTTCTCTCTAGTCTGAATAACTTTTTAATCTACCTAAAAATAGATGCAATCCAATTTTCATTTTCTCCTCTTTTTGCTATCAAAAAAAAAAAAAGGCACAAAAAGGCTTTTTATTCACAAAAAGCATTGCCTCATTAGCCCCAGACACATCTATTTCATCTGCCTGTGGTATGAGTAGCGAAGGTTTGTGACTGTTAGGCTTCACTTCTGCTCCCAAGGGAATCCCTCCAGTAGACCAACACTGGATGTCACAGTCACTGGAGAGTCCATCGCTTTGTCTCTCCACTCAAAACATCAGTGGGACCGTTAATGCTAAATCCAGTGGATGTTTTCTGTGGTCTTTTAGCTCTAGCTGCATCTATTTGAAATTCAAGATACCTTGTTCACTAAGTCAGAAGTGGTTTAAATGTCTCCCAGGAGGCAGAATTTGTGTTTGCCTTCGAAAGGGATGAACCCACGGAGGTAGTCAGGATGGATTCCTCAAAATCTGACCAACTGCCTCAATCACCTGAATTTCTTAATTCTAATGAACTTTAGTCAAAGCAGATGTTCTCCTTCTAACTCTGCCGATACAGATCTGAAATCCTGGAGTCACGTGTTTTGGGATGTTCAGAACAGAAGTGCCTGAGTCTGATACAGAGCTGTTTTTTTCCCCAGGGGCCTGTAGGGTGCCAAGTAGCAGAGCTGGGACTGAAACACCCTCCCACACCCTGACAAAGGCCCTAATTATTTTGAGTTTTTCTTCATCATCTCTCTGGGTCCCAATACGAGCACACTGAAACGTGCCCATCTCGGCCCCAGAAGCAAATCTCCTTGGGAGCTCACAGCTGTCCATCCACGCTCAGATAGTGGTTAAGGTTGGGAATTTTGGGGCAGGCTCACTATCAAGAGAAGGATGGTGTGTAGACCTCATGGATTTGGGGGACCTGAGTTTTGCTGAAGGCTCATTTCTATGGGACACTGGTAAAAGTTTTCTCTATGTGCCAGATCCTCCCCCATAGGGTAGGAGCAATAGCAGTTCCCCATAGGAGGGGAGGATGAGGGGGACAAAGAGCTTCTCTGTGAAATCTTGGATTTTGCATTCACAGGTTCACTACAAATACTTTGTGCTATCTTTCTACATAGTCCAAGGTCTTCCTGATACCATTTAGCTAGCCGTGGTTGCAACACATCTGTTTCTGTGGCCAGTGCCATGCAAGGGAATAGTCTGGTCAGCACTGTGTCCTGGGACGCTTGCCCCTAAGCTCAAATAGTTCATTCCCTGGCCAAGCTGGCATCTGTTAAGTCTCTGCTATAAGTTGACTGCAATGCTCAACCTTCCAACTCCAACTCCTTAACCATTGACTCCTTCAGGCATTCTGCTTCTGCATTTCTTGGTCCTGCCTCGAGAAACCAGTACAATACTCTTCCCTGGCTAACCATCCCAGAGCCACCCACTTGAAAACCCTCTAAGCAATGAAGTGATAGGGCTCAATGCCTGCCCACATGGTCAGGTGCCCACATTGTCCAAATCACCTTCAGAATTGGCCACAAAACTTCAGGCGAAGAAAGAGAGAATTAAGGGAAAAGCTTGCTGTGGCTTTATCCACTATTCTAGGCCCTTTGGTGTATATTCATTGAGCAAAATCCTGGCTCCAGGGGATTAGGCTGCAAAACCACCCCTGACATGCATTGCAGTAGGATTGTATTTTTTTTTTTTTAATTTTGAGAGGATAGGTAGCCAGCGACAGTAATACGAGTGTTAAAAACTGTACAAACTCAGCCCTTTGCTTCAGGCTTGCAGAAATGCGGGGCAAGGATGTGGGATAAATAAAAATCTCCTTCTCATTGATTTTTTTTCCTACTTGTATTAGAAAATCAGGGATATACATTTGCTGCTTCTCCCTCTTGGCCGCTGCAGCTGCTCTCCACGCTGCCGTTCTCACCTTCATTGTCCTTTCTATCTCACGTGGTAAAAGAGGTCCCCAGCCACCACTGATCCAAATGCTTCGGTGAGCCTTTTTTTCCAGGGCTTCAGGATTTAAGGTTCTGCTTCAGCTAATCTCTTTTGAAGCTTCTAAGAGCTTGTATGTTTTGCAAGATAGGAGTATGCAGCGAATAGGCCTTTTGCCACCAGCCAGCCAAGCAAGGTCACAGCTCATACTACTTTGCAGCATACTGCTGCTGTTTAGGGTGGGAGCCGCAGAGATGCACTGAACCTTTCTAAGGAGATTCGAGGGGATCACTGTCATCTCAAGGAAAGCTCTGCAGCACAAGAAAACCCAGTTCTCTCTCTCTTCCCTTCAGCCCTGAAAGGTAACAAGTCCTTCATGGTGCTTCACATTGCCTGTACTCCAATGCGGTCATGTCAGTGATGGCAAGTACAAGGCAGAGAAGTTGTATCATTTGCACTCTCTCCCTTTTTTTCCTGATTTAAACTGCCAGAGATCTTTGCAGCACCTGAAGATGCTTTGTATATTTTGACTGAGGTGTCCCAAGACCTGCTGTGTGATAAGAAGATGCTATAAAACCTTCCGTTTTCTGAGACACAGACACTGCTTTTGATGAGGAAAATAAAACACAGCACAGAAAA